AGCACCTGGAAGACAGCAGGTCCTGAGAGTGACGTGCTGACTGAGTTGAGTGTGCTAAGCCCCCCTTGACTTACTCCCAGCTTCACTTTCCACAATTCATCTTCCTGTTTGCTCCATTCAACTTTTTATGATCTTTCCAAATTCTAGAGTCTAGAGGACACTCCTGATGCTAGGATTCACCTATAAGAATTTTCTGGAATTACCCAAATCTGTTTGGGGGGAAAAGGGGTAGGTGCTGATCATAGCTGTTCTTTTGAGGCATCCCTGGTGATTATTTCCCTTTCCCTTCCTAATTCATATATTTCCCTTCAGGTATTCTTCTGGGAAGAGGAGAACCAACCAACCTACAGGTTGATTGTCATGAATCTAATGTGACTGTCACCATGACCATCCCCACTTTTTAAAATGTTGATGCCTCCACGGTGTGGCTGCAGAGCCATATATGTAGCAAATCAAACAGAAAGATGCTTGGCTCTGGAAACATGTAACCCAAGACGAAAAGCTCTGACATTAAGCTGTGACATACCAACAAATGAACCTTAAACATGGATGTTAATTAACTGTGCAAACAAATTTCGTGAAGAACGTTTGCTGACTTAAGGAACCATTTTCAAACAGATTAGAAGCATCATTTACATATAAGCCAAAGCAGTGAAATATAAACGCGGACTAAGCTGCTGTGATCTCCTAATCATCTTTATCTGTTTATTAAGAATATTTCTATAAGACTACTTAGTAGCATAATTTCTTTATGTAACTTGAAAGTGAGTCCGAATCATTTAAAGCCTATAATCCTGACTTTTCCTTAAATCAGACTGTCCTTCGTATTGGCCCAGATTGGTGAGATTTATAGGATTGACTGGAATAAAGCACTAAGTTATAAATGCCATAAGAACAGGCACCTGCCTTGCCCATTAGTGCAAACCTAAGCCTCCGGCTCACCATACTACCTGACACACCGTAGGTGCTTAATAAATATTTGCTGTGGGCCAGGCACAGTGGTTCATGCCTGTAATCCTAGCACTTTGGGAGGCTGAGGTAGGTGGATTACTGGAAGTCAGGAGTTCAAGACCAGCCTAGCCAAAATAGTGAAACCCTGTCTCTACTAAAAATACAAAAATCAGCCAGGTGTGGTGGCAGCATGCCTGTAATCCCAGCTACTCGGGAGGCTGAGGCAGGAATGTCGCTTGAACCAGGGAGGCGGAGGTTGCAGGGAGCCGAGATTGCGCTATTGCACTGCAGCCTGGGTGACAGAGGGAGACTCTGTCTCAAAAGAAAAAGTAAAAGGAAAAACATTTTCTGTGTATGAGGAAATGCTGTAGGGGCAGCGCGTCCTGAGGTGCTGTGTGTGCGCGGGGGCTTGCACACGCTTCAGCTCTAAGTACGAGGAAGTCACCTCTGTTTCTCCCATCACCATGGCCTCCAGAAAAGCTTTTGCCTCAAGTGCTCGACGGCCAGAAAGGACTCCCTGGTGGTGGCTGGGGATGGGGTTGCTGCTGGCAACAGCTGGGAGCGGGAAGGAGGGAAGGGATGGGATGGCGAGCCTCCCTTCTCCCCTTTTCTGTCTATTCTTGACTGTTATTCCCCTTCCTCTCCCAATCCTGGCTCGGAAAAGTATGTCTTCACCCACTGGATAAAGGCAACTGGTTCCCAACATCGTTTTGCTACTACTCTGGTTCCAGGACACTCTTGCTTCCACCCCAAATCGTCAAGGGTCATGTTTGTCTAGTGACAGCCCACTGATACAGCCCGAATGAAACAGCTTCAAGGCCCTGACTGCTTGCCTCGCTTCCGGAGTCACTGGAAAACCTGTAACCCTCACTGGGCCTCAGTTTTCTTATTTGCTAAATAAGAAGTTGCTCTAAATAAATGCATACAATCCCTTCCCTGAGAGGAAGACCTCTCAGGTTTCCAGAGGGAGGTGGTGGGTGTTTGAGGCCTGAGAGATGGTGCTGGGCTGGCAGAAGCCTCTCACCTTCAAGGCCATCTCAAGCGATGGCGATTCCCGCTCCGCTGCCCACACTCTAGGAGGCTCCAGGTCAGGTTTAAATCATCAATCAAGTTGCTTTTGGGAATTCAATCAAACTTGTCTGCCTCAAACCTGCCGATTTATATATAGTGCCAATTATTTATGTTCTATATTAAACTCCACTGTATTTCTTGGAGATATTAAAATATAAATTATGCAACAGAGATAAATTGATGGAAATTTTTCCACATGGCTAAAAAGAACTGCTGTTCTGAATGATGGTGAGGGATCAGTGGAGGTGGAAGAAGCAGGAGTCTGGGAAGACAGACCTTTGCTAAGGTCAGGCAGTTTGGCACCCATGTGGCAGGGCAGTCAGCCTGCTGACAGCGTAGGAACCACTCTGAGCAGAGAAAGGCAGGGTCTTGGTCACTTCTTGCTTCAGTCATGGTACACATTCTCTCCAAATGTCACTTCCTTCTGCTCACTGTCCCTCACCCTCCAGAAGCCTGAGCAGGACGGGAGGTGGGACTCAGCCACCGCCATCTGGCCACTGGTCAGATGGAAGCCACACCTTCTATCATCTTCTGTGACCCCAGGCCGAGGCCCCGCTCCAGGATACTATCCCATGGATGAACTCAAGGCTTTGATTGCATTTTGGATTGCAAGTAACTGAGAGGGATATCTTGAATTAAAAAAAAAAATGCGTGCTTTGCAAACTTAAACTAACAAGCACAACTCTCTGCATTGTAAGTCCTTGATTTCACGATGTGCCATATGTATGTGGTCACTATATACGGCACATCATGAAATCAAGATCGGGCAGTGTCCTTTGCCCTCCAAACTGTTTTTGTGTCAGTGCTGGGTCACCCTGCTGGCTGGAACGCTCTTTCTGATGTTTTGGTCCCTGGCCTTGGCACCCTGATGTCATCGTCTCAGAATTCCAGGGAGGGTGCGGGGCAGTGGAGGAGAGGCCAGAGCCTTGGGCTTGGGGCCCAGGCCCCAGAACATGCATCCACATCAACCCTTTCGGGAAACACGGACGAGGCCAGTCCTGTAGATGCAGGGTACAGTTTCCGATGTGGTTCATTTTGAGGTGCCCTGGACAGGGCTTTGTTGGGGTATGAGTGCCCCATGTTTGCTAATAATCTGGCCCCTTTTCAAGGTGCTACCGCTGAAATGTTTGCTCACACTTATTCAGAAGAGAAGCGAGGTGTTGCTTAGAGCACAAGAGGGGAAGGTGGCCGCACTGACAGCTTCATTTCACTTTGTCCAGGGCCGTTCAGCTCCGGCACTGAAGTTCCAAACTCCGCTTTGCAAACCAAGAGCCCATGCACACTTACAAGCAGTTCAGGTGGTACAGCTTATGTCATCTGCACCTTACACAGTTACAAATAGAAAGTTCAAAAAGAACAGAAGATCCCAGCAATTACTTGGACCCAGCCTCCTTAGAAGGCAGCGCATGAACCATCGCAATCACACCTGGGTGCCTGGGGGTGCCATGGCCCCTCCTTGGGGGCTTCCACCCACTGAGGGAGTCCTCTCCTGAACAGGAGTTCTGGTCCACACTGTGTTTTCCACCTGCCTCCATGTCCAGTGATGCCAGGGCAGCCCCTGCAGACAGCCCAGGCCCTGCCCTGACTCCTTGGCCTCACTTCCCTGCCGGGCCTGGGAAAACTGTCAGCTGTAAATATTTGCCCTGCCCACCGCCACGAAGAATGCCAGGACTGGACGCTTCCCATCAGAGGCACCATCGCTCTGTTCAATGTATGCTTTTTGAAAAAATAGAGACACTCTGTGGCCCAGGCTGGAATGCAGTGGCACGATCATTGCTCACTGCAGCCTCAAACTCCTGGGCTCAAGTGCTCCTCTCTCCCTAGCCTCCTGAGTAGCTGGGACTATAGGCATCTGCCGCTCTGCCTGGCTGGCTTTTAAATTGTTTTGTAGAGACAGGGTCTTGCTATGTTACTCAGGCTGGTCTCGAACTCCTGGCCTCAAGTGCTCCTCTTGCTGTGGCCTCCCAGAGCCCTGGGATTACAGGTGTGGCCACTATGTCCGACCTATTCAATGGAACCTTGAAATTAAACTCTTCTTGGAGAAAAGAACCACATGAAGTCAATACCTTTCCAACAAGGTGGTGAGATTAACGTGAGAAGCTGGGAAAGAAGAAAAGAAAAAGGAAGAGCGGGCAGAGGGTGTAAGGGAAAACTCCAGAGAGACTGTGAGGCCTTCTGAGGACCAGCAACCCAGGCGCGACCATGTTTCGGTACCCAGGGGACTGGCAGTTAGTGGTCTGAACAAGCAAAATCCCAGTCTGCGCAGGTTAGCCGGTGCCCCCTTTAGCAAGACTGGCAACTCCACAAAACGAAGCTCAGGGTCGGAGTCACGTGAAGTCCGCAAAGGCAGTGAGGGCGTGTGCACCACTCACACTTGAGATAAAAACCTAAAAACCCGCCACCTCTTTCTTTAGCTCGATGTCTGTATAAGTCCCAGCTTATTCACTCACACGCTTCGCTCAGAAGGGAGAAAGAATTTAGAAATGACACTTAAAAGTAAACCATCCCAAGTGTAGCTGAGCAACATCTTGCAAACGTGGTCCTACATCTCTTCCTAAGTATTTGTAACAATTTGAAACTGCACTTCCTGGCTAGAAAGGCATGACGGCAAACGTTCCTCCAAATCCCCTTGGTGGTCTAGTTCAGAGTCACCATGTCTCTGAAGGCGAGGAAGAGACCAAAAGTGTCACAGGGAAATTGCGAGGCATCGTGACATCTCATTTCTCTACCTCGGTCTGCCGCCTCTGCCTCGATCTTTTGTGCCTTTTCTTTAAATGACTACAACTCTGTCAAACAAGGCAGGCACAGCTGTTTTTTCCCACCATAAGCAAATCAGACCTCTTACAGTTTGAACGGCTTAGTTTACTGCTTAGTATATGCAACCAACGACAATTTTTCAGGACGTTCAAATGAATTTCATGTTACTTCCTTTTCTCCTGGCACCCTGGCAAATGGCAGGGACGGCAGATGGTGCCTACCTTGCCCAGGCCCGGGGTGTCCTTCACCTTGTTGACAGCTCTCAGCAGACAGGGCGGGGCTGGGGGAGGGGAGGTTTGCAGAATCCCACTGAAGCTGGTGGCGAAGAGCGGCGGCTCGGCAGCGGAAGAAGCGGAAGGCCGGTGTTTCTTCTTTTTAGAAGACAGATTTAACTTCTGGGCAGCTCTGGAGGCGAAAACATAAAAAAGGAGCAGTAAGGGGGAAAATTATTGTATAATCAGGTATGCCAGGGCTACTTCCTTTTCTTTCTCTCTCTTTTTTTTTTTTTTTTGAGACTGAGTTTTGCTCTCGTTGCCCAGGCTGGAGTGCAGTGGCACGATCTCAGCTCACTGCAACCTGCACCTCCCAGGTTCAAGCGATTCTCCTGCCTCAGCCTCCCGAGTAGCTGGGACTACAGGCATCCAGCACGACACCCGGCTAATTTTGTATTTTTAGTAGAAACGAGGTTTATAGACATGCACCACCACGCCTGGCTAATTTTGTATTTTTAGTAGAGATGGGGTTTCTCCATGTTGGTCAGGCTGGTCTTGACCTCCCAACCTCAGGTGATCCTCCTGCCTTGGCCTCCCAAAGCACTGGGATTACAGGCGTCAGCCACCACACCCAACCCATTTTCTTTCTCTTAAAAAAACCCTAGTTCCTACTGAGGCCTAATCATTCCTTCTGTCCTCATGCTCAGTGTCCTCTGTAGCAGTGCCTTACCACAACAGAGTGAACTTAACGAGCTGCCCAATCATTTATACAGCAAAAGAAAAAAAGCCATAAAGTGGCAGGATTCTGCAATCACGATTTACAAAGAATGGTTTGTTATCCACCAACATCCAGCTGAAGCAGGAACAACGCGGGGCATCTGTGGGGATCAACGGCGCCCATTAAGTTAATCACTCCACAACTTCTCTGGCGAGAGACCTCATGAGCTCATTGAAAATCTCTGACACCTTGTAAAATCCAAACCAGTCTGATGAATCATGTGAGGCCAGTCAAGGCACGCTATGCACGGGGCACTGGAGGAAAAACACAAGCCCCAGTTCCCCAGGGAAAATCAAACTGAGTTTAGAAAATATAAGACCAAATCAGAAGGCGAACTCTAGCCAGGGTGTGGGGTGCTGAGATGATGGGCTGTTCACATAGATAGCAGGATATTGTGCACAGAGGTCTTTAAATACAAAATGCAATTCACAAGCAAGTGCAAAAAGTAAGGGCGTGAAAGGGGCACTGAGGGTGGAGACAGGGAACCGTGGGAGGGAAGGCTTCCAGCATCATTAGTAACACATGCTGTTCGCATGACATCGTCCATCATTCAAGTATCCTGTAACACTGAAAACATGAGCATCTTGGCTGGGCGCAGTGGCTCACACCCGTAATCCCAGCACTTTGGGAGGCAGAGGCAGGCAGCTTATCTGAGGTCAGGAGTTCAAGACCAGCCTGACCAACAAGGTGAAACCCTGCCTCTATCAAAAATGCAAAAATGAGCTGGGCGTGATGGCAGGTGTCTGTAGTCCCAGCTACTTGGGAGGCTGAAGCGCTTGACTGAGGGAGGCGGAGGTTGCAGTGAGCCAGGACTGCGCCACTGCACTTCAGCCTGGGCGACAGAGCAAGACTCCATCTCAAAAAACAAACAAACAAACCAAACCATGATAATCTTGGCCCAGCATGGTGGTTCACACCTGTAATCCCAGCACTTTGGGAGGCTGAGGCAGATGGATCATATGAGGTCAGGAGTTCGAGACCAGTCTGGCCAACACGGTGAAACCCCATCTCTACTAAAGATACAAAAATTAGCCAGGCGTGGTGGTACATGCCTTTAATTCCAGCGACTTGGGAAGCTGAGGCAGGAGAATTGCTTGAACCTGGCAGGCAGAGGTTGCAGTGAGCTGAGACGGCACCACTGCACTCCAGCCTGGGCGACAGAGGGATACTTTGTCTCAAAAGAAAAAAACAAAACAAAATATAATCATCTTATTACAGAAAAGAGGAAGAAAACAGGGCAAGGGGCAGTGTGAGACAAAGGCATTTCATAGTCTATAATACGCTCATTTCTGGATTAATTCTTGATGTTTACATACTACACTCCTGTTGTAAGAATTCCAATTTCCTCATCAAATGTTTGAAACATGTGAGCTGCTGCTTTCCTAAAGGAAAGGACAGCCCTGACTTTATCCTACTGATTAAAACCTTACGGTTCATCCAGTGTTCTTACCACTGCACAATACATCCCAAGAGAGGCAGGCCAGAAAGAGCAAAGCATCACTGTTTGCACCTCCGCCCCTCCTGCATCCCAGTCTCTTTTCATGGTCTGGGATAGTTGGTTTTGATTCTGTATCAGTAAGTGCCATGCTTTTGACAAATCCCGAGTTACAAAATTGCCACCTCACAAATATGGCAAATGGTGTTGCCATTTTAATGCTTGCATTTTTTCATCTGTAAAGCTAAAAATCTATTTCACAAGAGATTGTGAAATACAGGGGGAAGAGAGAAGCCCCAGTGAGGAGTCACCGATTTTGATGGGAAGATACCCTACGTCACCCTACGTCGCCCTGCTGCAGGATGGCGGGAAAGGGAAGGCACTGGATGCTTTCTGTTTTCAATCAGTCAAAAGAAAAAACTAGAAATCCTTCTTTGCTATTTCATTGCTACTCTTCCTGGCACTTTCTTTCCAAAGTTAAGGGTGAATGGAATTCTTCAGTGACCAGTCCGAGGCTTCTCTTGGCAGCTTTCCTTCCTTTTGAGATTCTCTCCCTAAATGAACAGCGACTCAGCCCAGGCAGTCATCGGACCGAGGCATCACATGGCCCTCGACACCGGCACGCACCTCTGCTCAGCGATCCCTCCCTGCTCTCCAGCCAGCCTGCCTGTGTCTCGGAGGGCTAGAAGAGGAAAGAAGATGGCGACCTGCTGGGAACTAAAAGGCAGCATTTATCCATCTACATACACGGTTGTTTTTTACAGCGGAAAAAGGACCAGGCGATGGCTACGGTTCCCAGCCCCCTACCTGCCGGCATTCCCACTCTACATGGAGAAACAGACAGGGGAAGGAGTGACACTGAAGGGCAGCTTAGAACAGGCAGGAGCCTGATGGCTTCTTTCTTTTTCTCATCTCTGCCACCCATGTCCACCCCACACATCCCCTGCAGAGGAGAAAAGCGAGGATTTCTGAAATTAAAGCACACCCCGAGACATCCCTCCAAGGTTGCCCTCCTCCCTCTCTCTCCTATAACCAAACTTTCACTCTACTTCCCAATGGCACACAGACATGTCGTTATTTCTCTCATCTTAAAAAAAATAAAACACAAATCCTTATCCTGATTCTTGTTCCCCATCCGGCTACTATTCCACTTCCTTGCCCATCTTGGCAGCAAACCTCAGGGAAGGTGTTGTCTGTGCTCGCTCTCTCCAGTCCTTCTCCTTCCGTTGTCCATGAGCTCAGTCGTGTGTCCATGCTTCAGGCGTGTGTCCCACTGCTCATACTCGTCTAGGTTACCGATAACCACCATGACTGCTCAGTGGAATGGTTCTCAGCCCCGTCTTGACCTGCCAGGGCACTGAGTACACCCTTCCTCCGTGACGCCCTTTCTCAAAGGCTTTGAGGACACCCTGGCCCCTCCTTTCCAGTCTCCTTTGCTGGTTCCATCTCTTCCGCCCAGCCTCTCACTGATGGGCTCAGGGCTCCGTCCTCATCATCTGTCCTGCTACCTCTATCCCTCTGTGCTTCCTTCCAGGAGCATGATTTAAATAAGATCCTTCATGCCTGTGATTAATCAATTCTTATTTTATTTCCAGCTTAGATCCCTCTCTGAAGCTCCATCTTTATGTATCTAATTACCTCTTTAACAACTCCACTGGTTTATCTAATGAACACCTCGAGCTTGCCCGCTCTAAAACCTGCAGAGTTGTTGGGCGTTCAGCCTTTCCTGCATCAGAAAATGGCAAGTCCATCCTTCCAATGACTTCTCCGAGGCTGCCCTCTCTTCTCACACGTCTAGTGCATCAGGAAGTTTTGTCGGTTAAAACTTCAAAGTAGATCCATGATCCAGCCCCCTCTCACCACCTTTTCCAGCAGCTTGGTCAGAGCCACAGACTTCTCTTGCTGGATGGCTGCAAGTCTCCTAACTTGTCCCCATCCTCTGAACCTGCTCCTCACCTGCCTATTCACAGAGGAGCCAGAGCAGCTCTTCAGAATTTAAGTCTTCTCAGGGCACTGCATTTGACTCTCCTATCACTCGGCGTAAAACCCAAAGTGCTTGAAGTGGCCTATTAGGCCTGACATGGCCTGTCCCCTCCCCGTGCCCCTCAGGACACCTCTCCTACCACTCTCTTCTTTGATTATTCTGCTTCAGTCATACTCCAAATATTCTTGGTCCAATACCCATCTCAGGGCCTTTGCACAGGCTGTTGCCTCAACCTGGAATGCTCTGCCCAGATAGACACAGGCATATGGCGCCCTCCCTCATCTCCTTTAAATCTTTGCTCAGGCCAGGCACAGTGGCTCACACCTTAATCCCAGCACTTTGGGAGGCCGATGCAAGCAGATCACAAGTCAGGAGTTCAAGACCAGCCTGGCCACTATGGTGAAACCCTGGCCAATATGGTGAAACTCTACTAAAATTAGAAAAATTAGCCAGGCATGGTGGTACATGCCTGTAGTCCTAGCTACTTGGGAGGCTGAGGCAGGAGAATTGCTTGAACATGGAAGGCAGAGGTTGCAGTGAGCCAAGATCGCACCACTGCACTCCAGCCTGGGCAACAGAGTGAGACTCTGTCTCAAAAAAAAAAAAAAAATCTTTGCTCAAATGTTACCTTATCAACGAACCTACCTTGCCCATCATGGCAGACAGTACTTTCCAAAGATGGCAGCATCAATGTGTCTCCCACATGGACTTCTTACAACCTGACATTGATGCTCTTCCCTTGAGAGGTGGGGGCCTAGGTTCCTTTTCGAACCCAAGCAAAATTTTGAGACTGCCCTGGCCGACAGAATGTGACGGAAGTGATGCCATAAAATGTCTGAGCTTAGGATACAAAAGGCAGTGATGGCCTCTCCCTGGCTCTCTTTCTTGGGACACTCACTCTGGGAATGCAGCTTCCATGCTGGAAGCCCAGGTCACATGGAGAGGGTCGTGTGGAAAAGAGCTGAGGAACCCATGAGATTGCCAGTATCAAGTGCT